CTTTTTTCTCCATTCTTACATGGTCCTTATGTAAGTACATAAAACCATTTTAACAAATATATTCTCACCGCTCACAGAAGAGGGCAGTACTGAGCAGCGTTTCTAGAGATGAGGGTTTGAGGCATGGGAAGACTAAACGGCTCATCCATGATCAGACAGGTCTGTGATAGCAAAGAAAATAATTGAAACTCCTCACACTCTAGTCAGTGAGCCAAAAATATGCTATGTAAAGCGATGAGTATTTTTTTTTTCCTCATTTCTTTAGGGCTGTGTTGTTCTTACGTTTATTCTGAATTTTGGTATTGAATCCAAAGATGCTTGTGCTTACAATAAAATTAATGCAATAAAAGCAAAATTAAAACATATAAAAGCTGCAATTAGAAAACTGCAATAAAATTAATGCAGAGTAGAATGCAAAGACTATGCCCCAGCTGTTGAGTCTGAGGATCAGGTCTGTGCTCAGAGTTTGTGGAGAGCCATTTGTAAATGCGGGTGAGACTAAGGTGGCTTTGAGTGGGTGATACAACTGTTCATATGAGTTTGGTTACTGGGATGTGTCATGAGCACCTCTGCTGAGCAGCCTTGGGAGGCTGCAGGTACCTGGGACTGGCAGCAGGATACCATCCGCACACACACCACAAGCTGCCCATTGCTCAGAAAACCCTTTTGATCAACTATGTGTTATAACAAGACAAGAGCACAGTTTGGGTGCAATTACACATAAAAGGCAGTGACCAGTAAAACATTAAGGTGCACAAGTCAATGGGACCAGGTGAAATACATCTGTGGGTCCTGAGGGAACTGGTGGATGGAGCTGCCAAGTCATTATATGTCATATTTGAAAAGTTTTGACAGTCCAGTGAACTGAAGGAAAGGGAACTGCTGACTGGAAAAGGGGAAATATAACCCCTGTTTTTAAAAAGAAAAAAAAAAAGGAAGACCTGGGGAACTACCGGCCAGTCGGTCTTATCCCCGTGACCAGCAAGATCATGCAGCAGATCCTTCTAGAAACCATACTAAAGCACATGGACAATAAGGAGGTGATTGGTGACAACCAGTGTGTCTTCACTAAGGGCAAATCATGCCTAACAAATTTGGTGGCCTTCTACATTGGGACCATGGCATTTGAAGATAAGGGAAGAGCAACTAACATAATTGTGCAAGGCATCTGACGCTGTTCTAAATGGCATCCTTGTCTCTAAATTGAAGAGACGTGGATTTGACAGATGGGCCACTCAGTGGATAAGGAATTGGCTGGATGGTTGCACTCAGAATTGTGGTCAATGACTCAATATCCAAGTGGAGACCCTTAATGAGTGGTGTCCCCCAGGGGTCAGTACTGGGACCATTGCTGTTCAGCATCTTTGTCAGCAACATGGACAGTGGGATCGAGTGCACCCTCAGCAAGTTTGCTGATGACACAAACCTCTGTGGTGTTGTCAACACACTGGAGAGAAGGGATGCTGTCCAGAGGGACCTTGAGAGTCTTGAGAGGGGGGCTTGTGAGAACCTCATGAAGTTCAGCAAGACCAAGTGCAAAGTTCTGCACTTGGATCAAGGCAATCCCAAACACTACAGGCTGGGTAGAGAAGGACTTGGGGGTGTTGACTGATGAGAAGCTCAACATGAGCTGGCAGTGTGTGCTCGCAGCCCAGAAAGCCAACAGTATCCTGGGCTGCATCACATGGAGTGTGACCAGCAGGTCAAAGGATGTGATTCTTCTTCTCTAGTCCACTCTCATGAGACCATACCTGAAGTACTGCATTCAGTGCTGGGGCTCCCAGCAAAAGAGGGATGTGGACCTGCTGGACTGAGTCTGGAGAAGGGACACAAAGATGACCAGAGGGCTAAAGAACCTCTTCTATGAAGACAGGCTGAAAGAGTTGGGCTTGTTCAGCTTGGAGAAGAAAAGGCTCTGGGTAGATCTTAATACAGTCTTCCAATACCTAAAGGGGGCCTAAACGAAATCTAGAGAGGGACTTTTTAAGAAGGGCATGTAGTGGTAGGACAAAGGGGGAATGGTTTTAAGATGAAAGAGGGTAGATTTAGATTAGATATTAGGAAGAAGCTCTTCCCTGTAAGGGTGGTGAGGTACTGGGACAGGTTGTCCAGAGAAGCTATGGATGCCCCATCCCTGGAAGTGTTCAAGGCCAGGGTGGATGGAACTTAGAGCATCATGGTCTAGTGGAATGTGTCCCTGCCCCTGGCAGGGGGGGTGGAACTAGGTGATCTCTAAGGTGATCTCTAAGGTTACTTAGAGAACCCAATCCGTTTTATGATTCTGTGATTATTCTTAAAGGTTTGTACCGGAACATTTGCAAAATTAGACCTTTCTTTTCCCAGACACTGATTTTTAGCACACTTCACAAAATGGGTTTTATCTGCAGTGTAAAGGATGTAATTTTAGAGTCCTGTTACTAACAAGTTTAAGGGTTTTTTTAAACAGAAGCACATCATATAAGGATTTTCAGAGCCTTCCACATTATGTATTTTGCAAAGATTATGGTTTGGAATTCAGAATCAGTTTGGATCTTGGTGCCTTCATTTTTGGAGCAGGAATAGTCAAAATGGTGACTGCATTTCAAAATACTCATTTTGCATGCAGAGTAATAACTCTTTAATAAGAAACTTTATTGCAGTATCTTAATGTGCAATTTTATTGCTTATTGTTTTTAGTGAGCATTTATAAAGTGTTATGTTTGGAGTTTAATACCTTAGCTATTTCCTATCACAACAGGTTAAAATTTGGCATAGCAGTGACAACCTTAATTTCAAAACTTTCACAGAAAATTGCAAAGAGCAAATTACTGTTTCTTGTTAATTTCTACACTTCGAAACCTGTCAACATCAATGTCAAATAATGTGACATTTATATGGACCATTAGATCACCAAGAGTGTAGGACCAGAGCTGTCTCAAAGTTGATAACCTGTAGTGACATTTCTGAAGTTCTAGAGCAACCAAAAAGGGATGTGGGAGACAGGGAAGAAGGAGAAAAAGCAAATTGTCAAGGTTATGATAGGAAAGGACAAGACAGCTAAAACTGTTTTTTATTAAAAAACAAAAAAAAAAACAACAAACCAAACCAAAAACCTTCATTCTGTCATTTTGGAAAAGTTCTGAAATTTCAGTTTCCATGTTGGAAATGTGTTGCCACAGCAGAAATCTGTTTGTAAGCCAGCTTCAGAGTTAGCAAGTTTTGAGCATTCAAAATGCACCCAGCATTTTTTTTCATCAGGCTCTATCTGGGTAATATTGTGGTTGATGTTTATTTTGTCTTTATGATGTATTCCAAATAGAATTTTTGTTTCCTCCTTGCTATAGTGTAATAGTCCAAATGTTATATTTCCCATGGAATTTTTCTGGTTTTAAAATTTTGGAATTCATGGACTGTATGTGTCATTAAAATTAGCAGTATGATGTAGTCATATACAATATTTAGGTAGATATACAGTTCATATTAAGTACCTGGAATATCTTTTATGATTCAAAGAATCAGTAACTAATTCACATAGTCAGAAACTGCGTTATACTTGAGGTATATTCATTTTGGCAATATAATATCTTATTTGAAATGAATATATATTGCACTATTAATTTTCATGGATCTTAAAATAATAAAAACATGCCGCAACAAAGAAAAAAAGCATGTTTTTTTCTGTATGCACTATGTTTGGATGCAGCCCAGAGCCTTTCATAGAAGTAAACATAAAACTGATGTTATACAGGAATAGTAAGTACTTTGTTTTATACTATGCAGTATTCATATAACAAGTTTTAAACTCAAATGTGGTCCTAATTCTGCACAACTAAGCGCTTTTGAGCATACTGCAAAGAAGTGCTCCTGCTTTAGACGGGCAATGACTTTCCTCTTTATTTACTTCCAGGAAGGCTAATCTACTGTGAGTTTTACTTACAGGTTTTTTTTTTTTTTTTTTTTTTTTTACTATTGCAAATTTTGGACACTTGCCAGGCTTCACTCCTAACAACTCTTGCTACCTGGCATAGAGAAACCAAAGTGAAGTCTTGGAAGAAATTGTGTCCAATATGTCCAGTCCTGAAGACATTAGAAGGTCAGGAAGGAGTCTGTGGTTGTGATTTCTTAATAGCATAATAGCATTTACACACTGGAAATTTCAAATGGTACTGACATTATTAGTCACCGATATTGCCGTGTACTGAGTTAAGGAGTAGAGAACCCAAGGGTATTGACGAAAGTTTCTTTGATTTTTGTAATATTGACTTCATCTGCAGTGCCTTGGGCACTAGCTGATCCAGTGCGTCCAGCTGCTTTGGAAAACTGTTTCTATACTGAACTGAAACTATAGCTATGTCCTTGACCATATTTTTCCATAAGTATGAGTTAATAGTGTAGTGTCATCTTAATGTACAAGTTTGGATAAAAGATTTTCAACGTTATTAACCTTTAATTATTTTTTTCTGGAGGTGATCTTAAAAAAATTGATATTTTTGAATAGTAAGTTCAGTTCAGGAGAAGACAAGTTTACTCAGAATTCAGACTGCCGTCTTGCAGTAAGGAACAGGCAATGCCTGCACAATCCTTCTTCTGAAGCCCTGCTGACTGTCTGCTGGCCATCACTAACTCCTTAAGTTAGATTTTATAACACCATTTAGCTTTTAATAATGATGAAACTAAGTTTAAGGAGGGGATTTGAATTTAATGCTTTGGAACAAAACAGTGGAAATATTTCTGTTCTATTTTTTGTTTTGTGAAATGAATTCAGGCAAAATGGGTATTGTTAGAAATTAATAGTTAATTGAAAGATGTACTGTATTTTATCATTAGTAGTTAAAAAGAAATTCTCAAATAGTAATATTAAGTTTTTAGTGCTAGCTATTTATAGAATTTATTGCATTTTTAGAAATACAATGTATTATTAGGAATGCATATGTTTCTTCTATATTTCTTAACTCTCATAGCTAAACTAAAAGATATTATACCAAAATGGCTATTAATTTTCTTTCTTTACAAAATCTTAGGCTAATTGGCTGGTGGGGTCATGACTTCAAAACACGGTTCCTCATGGAAAACAGTATGTACTTTTACACTTTCAATTTGATTTGTATTTGATGTATTTATAAACAACCAGTTTCATTTTACAGTCGTTTGAGTAGAAAGGATAAAACCTTGTATTTCCTTATGCATGACCTTATGTTAAAGGTATTAAACTAAACTCATTCCAAATATGTAATGCAATGAAGTTATCAAAATAAATGTTGGGAAAAATTTGAGTCTGACTGTCTGCTTCTAGACATTTTGCTGAAATACCTTCAAAAAGCAGATATAGAATATGGATGAAACCTTCAAAGTATCTCAGTGAATTAAACTCATAAGTCTCTGAGGAGTGAGGATCTTACTTTAGGATTAGTTCCACTGGAATTAATGAGAAATTATGTAAATAAAGGTAAGTCAACCTGATATAGTCATGAAATACTACTAAAGTTTCAACATCTCCAAATTCCCTGAACTAGCAAAAGACGTGTAACAAGACTGATATGATTTTGGCCGGAGAACACCACTCTAATAGCCTCAATCTGCTCTTTGTTTTCTGACCAAATGCAAAAGTGGCACTTTGAAAAGCCAGTAGGAGGCACAAATTGCATTGAAATACTGTTAGAAGAAGAAAAATATTTCTTTATTTCCATGGGCAATTTATAGGGGTGAAGTTGAGCAGTAATCATTATAAAATTAGCCAGTCTGTTGTGCATGAAAAACCTTTCCTCCACAGCATCCTCTTGTTCTGGTGCTGGAGCATAAAATATAAATGGTGACACAGAACTTACAGTGAGGCTTTATAAATTTATTAAATAGATTTTGTGAAATTTCACAGTTTAAAGTCTGTGCAACTTCTCTCTGTGGCCTGAAGCTACACTTAGTTGATATGCAGTCTCCCATGTGTCTCGTCAGTTTAATAAAATTAAGGAACATGATTCCCTGCTCATGCAATAAAGCTCCACATGAGCATGCCTCTGCTGACTTGGAATTTCTTTGGCTTGTGCCAGTGTTAAAAGAGATTCAGTGCAAAGGTGGTCTTAACACACACCATTTAAGCAAATTAATTGCAGTTCTCTAGTTTCCGTGAAGCTGCTAATGAGGTCTTCTGCTGGATAAAATTGAGCTTCTCTGGAAGTTAAAAGTATTAGCTGTGAATAGATTGCTATTTCCTTTTAACGACTGATTCCTACAGGCCACATTAGTGAAATATTTTATTGCATGAGGAGGGACTTCAAGATAAGGTCCAATCCGTTAAAAAGAAGTAGTCAAAACCACTAATAAAAGTTATTCATTTTCCAGAATTAAAAGTAAGTGAAGGAATTAATGGATTTCGGTTATCAAATCCTCCAATTTTACTGGTATGTGCTCTGCAAGCTGGTTTAGAGGTAAGTGGTTGCTTTACTTTGAGCCTGAATGTAAGAGCATTAAAATGTTAAATGGACGTTAAGTGTATTATTGTCTTGCTTAAAAAAGTTGTCAAAAGAGTTAAAAAAGGGGTGATGGTGTGAAAAGCAAACAAAACAACCCTGCAACCTGAGAGATCAAGGCCTTTAATAAATATGCTCATCTCTTCACTGTTCTAGCAAAATGTGTTGTTGAACCCAGTATACTCGAGGTTTTCACCTCCAAGTCTGACTGCTAGCGCTGTGTTTCTCCCAGCTTTTAGTGGTTCAGTACAAACAGCAGCTTTTCCCATAGATACTCAGAGCTTGCCTCAATGCAACTCATGTGAAGGATGCTGTTCAAGATTTTCTGATGAAAGAATCACAACTCTGAAAAGTTGCATTCAGAGGTGGTTTTACATATATTTCCCTGAGCAAAACAGACAGCTCCTTTATGAAAGAAAACAGACGTGGCCACTGAGTGTCCTGGAGCCTAAATTGAACTGGGGCTCAGGGAGCCTGTCCTCTGCTGTAGTCCTTTTGATTACAAATAGAAAAGGCAGAAACTGCCTGTGGATACTTCCTAAAATAGTAATTCGTATGTGTGGTATAGCTCCAAACTGTTTTTCTTTCATCTTGTCATTAGTTTTCTGGTGGCCAAAGGAGCAGAGCCCCACCACTGACCCATCTCTAGATGAATCTGTGGAAAGGGCAGTACTGCCATATAGAGCTAATCCCTTCCTTTCTAGGAAGGTGTCACCAATGGGCTGAAAGTCATCTGGTCAGCCTTAGAGAGGACAGTTCAGCCCTGTTTGAAGGCACGCAGCTGTTCTCCAAACACCTTGTATCGTGCTGCATTTCCTATGAAGATGTAGCAACATTTCTCTTATGGATGATTCACCCATCAAATGCAGGACACGTCTTTGTGTCTAAAAAGGATGGTTTTACAAAGCTTTTCCTACTATATGCTACATATGTTACTATATTAAAATTTTGCCAAGGCTGCTTTTCAAGCTAGTCTTGGAAAGCAAGGTTTTGCCACCAACATAAATGGAATAAATTTATGTCTGCTAGCATTCCATTAATGCTAGTGTAATGGCAAAGCTGATGCTGGATCAAAGAACAATGTCCATACTCTGTATGTTCCTCTTCTTTATTTACTGAAAAGAAGAATATTGTCATCAAACATAACCAGAAAATTGCCAGTTGTGCTCTCTCATCTTACATGCAATGCTGAAGTACTGCAAAGGACACAGCAGTGCTGCTTGTTCTGCCTGGTAATTTATTTTCTTAGCCCTTAAACATCCAATATAATTTTTTAAACTTTATGTGACCTTAGAGATAAACTGCAAGCTATTCTGCTATGACCCAGATTGTCACTACTCCAGTTTGTGTGGGTTGATGTCATTTAGCCCACTGCAGGGAGCCTCAAACAATGAGGGCTGAGCAGTTTCCATCGCCTCCCCTTTCTATGCCTGCATTACGTTTTGGCACAGCCAGGATTTCCCAGCGCTAACTGCTCTAATACAGTGGGAAACAAAATACTTTTCATGTCTGGCAAGAGATGGCTAGTGAAATTGCATGCCACCTTCACTGGGACACATTAAGCAGAAGGCAGTGTTTCCAATGGAAACAATGAAAACTGCAAGTGTTAATGGACGTTATTCCTCAGTAATGCTTAAAATGACTGTTATGGCAGTAGCTTCTCCCTTTTATGGAAAAAAGGGGAGTGCTCCACAGCCACATTTAAAAGACCTTTTCCAAAAATTTCACCCAGGAGGCCAAATATTCCTTGCACAAAGCCTGAGGAAACAGATTTTTGCATGTAGCTGAGAGCCATCTCTCGTACTGCTGCAAAGCCCAGAGGAATGGGAGGCAGGTCTCCATTCTACCTCTAGTAACACCCTGAAGCTTGCATGTAAGTTCTGCCTGCCTGTGTGGTGAGGGAAGTACCTTTAGATTTTTATTGGCCTGTGCAAGTGATGACTGCTGATGGCTTTGATCTCTGTCACATTCATTTCCATATCTGCACTGTCTCAATGCAAAGACTATGTTACAGAAGCCATATTTTGTTTCACAGAAACACATGTAGGAACTTTTGTTTTTGTGCAGCATCTGGTGGTTGTGATAGAATCATGAAATAATAGTTGAGATATTCTAAAAAGAAAGTGATTTCCAGGTGCTGCTGGAAAGCAGACTTTGTTGTATTTTGAGTAGGATTTCTCAGTTACCTCCTTATACTCTCTTCCAGGTTATGATATAAGTAGTCTTAAAAGTGTTGCTCCTTCAGTGTGGAGAACTGATTTCTTGAGAGTGAAGATCATGGATTTTCATACAGGACCTCCACCTTTTGCAGCTGCAGTCAGTGGAGTTATAACTGTCCCTGAGCAGCGATATTACATTTATGTGCCAGAATGTGATTCAAAGTGACTATTGGGTGCTTGCATGTCTGTATCTTGTCATTATTCTCTGAAGCTACTTGCCTGGGAACAAGAAAAGGGAGGGCTTCAGGAAGAGAGGAGTAAATTGTTTCCAGGGTCACATTTTCCTTTATTCCCCGTAACTGAACATTTCCAGAGCACAAGTAGAAGCTGCCTCACCTTCTCCCAAACTCTCCTGCCACACTGGTTGTTCTTGTTTCTGTGGTAAAGGAGCATTGTCTTTTTTAAGCAGTCACTTTTGCACTTCTTATGATATTTTGAGTTCCGCAGCTCACCAGTCCTTGCAGTTGTGTAAGAGCATAGAGCTATTAAACCAGACTCAAGTGAATATTTTTTCTTCACGTGCACTATCAGAGACAGAGCCTGTACAGGACTTAAAGTAGCAAAGTCATTATTAGTATAAATTTTGTGTTTTCCAAAACAAGTATTTGTAGATCAGCCATGTTTCAGTCTTGACCTTGGATTTTGTTACTTGCAGTACATACAGGAGAAAACCTGTATGTGATTTTGAGTTTTACGTCCTGTTCCATGTATGAGAATTTATGGAGCCTCTTCAGATGTGCAAATGAATGGTCTCAGAAAACTTTTTGTGTGCAAGTACATTCATGCAGGTACTTAGCAGTAGATTGAAGTGTCTTTCATTATCTAGAGTTATAACATTATCCTCTGTTTTAAAAAGCCCAATTATGACATATTTATGTATAATGTCTATCTGATATTACCACTTGATTCCAATGAGAATGGATAGAGAAATCTACCCTTTTAGTATTAATTTCCTTTTTCTTATCTGTAGCAATAGAAATTTAACATGGCTAAGTTTTTCAGTTTTTTTTTGGCATTGTTATGAAATTGCAATATTTACTATATAATCATTCTAATGATCTAAATTCATTACAGGTTTTTGGTCAAACTACAATGAAAGCATTGAGAAGGAAATCCATTCTACTCACTGGTTACTTGGAATACCTGATAAAACATTACTACAATGAAGATAAGACAAATCCAGAGAAGCCCTTTGTAAAAATAATCACACCATCTCAGATTGAGGAAAGAGGATGTCAACTCACGCTATCTTTTTCACTTCCAATCAAATCTGTGTTTAAAGAGCTGGAAAAGAGAGGAGTAGCTGTGAGTATATCAAACCTCATCTTCTTATGCACTGTTTTGTGAACCATAACAAATTAATAATTTTGCTTTTATTCAAATATAGTCTCATATAAGGGCAAAAACCCTGGGAATGATGAAAATTGCTTACATAGCATCTTCAATCTTTAGTTATGCAAATAATCAAATGAGTTACTTTGTTATTTGTTATTATTATTTGTTAATGTGTATATTGCCCTATCTCTATTGATTTATTTCCAATAGTTCTACGAGTGGCACCCAGGAGTCACTAGTGAAGTTAAAGCTGCTTTATGGGTGTGTTACAGTGGGAGGAATTATGGATCTGGAGCTAATGGTCTGAACAGGAAAGATAGGAAATTAAAAAAAAGAAAAATCCTAAATCACTGGAAAAACACAAATATGAGTATTTCAGAGCTGCAATACACTGCCTGCACAGGCATCTCCTGTTAAGAGTGCTAGTCCAGGTCCCCTCCTATGAGTCCAGACACAAGGCCAGAAAGCCAAAGAGTTGGTCTGAGCCATCCTGGGGTGCAGGCGGTCAGGGATGAGGGTTCAGGCAGTGCTCACTGTCCTCAACACCACAAATCACATACTTACAGACTGACCATGGCAAGGAACTCTGAACCTCCACGAGTCCCTTTCCTCATCTGCAAATGGCAAAACCCTTGCTCTTTGTGAGGCATTGAGTTGAAGGACTTAAAAAGCTGTCATTTCCTTAGAGATATGTTTTAACACTCAGGAAAAGAGGCTACTGAATGGTGGTGCCATGTGATGACCCAGTTGCCAGTTAGCACTTCTCAAAAAGTATAAAAGCTAAATTTAAGGCTATACATTCATTGATTTAGAAGTGCTGGGAGGTGAGGCTGATAGCCTAATGCCATATAAATGATATGCAGGTTTTATTTCTGCTTTTGACTTGTGTCCCCAAAGGACAACTCACTGAGGCTAAATACGTTGCTGTTTTGGTGCTGCCAGGGAATTCCAGGAACTGCTGCTTTTAAAAGGGCACAGGGCCTTACACTGTTGGCTTGTCTTCATGATGCAGTAATATGCTTCACATATGAGGCAATATTCAGCAGCATGTTCAAATTCATTGTGGGGGGAGGAAAAATACTGGAAGTCCTGTGATATTACTTGCACCTGTTGTACAGGACACTGTCTACTGGCATGTTTCTGTTTTGTGGTGGCTTTTTTTATCACCCGTGTGCCTCTTCAACTGTGGGTTGATATAGGTGTTAAGGTAAATTGTGGAGATATATAGCTGGTATGGAGCCCCTCAATGGCACTGCTAGACTCCTGCCCATCCTGAGCCTTGCATCCTTCTTTAGGCAAAGCACCACTCTCCTTGCTACGTTCTTCACAATAATGCTCTGTGCAGTAGTTTCTTGGGGGCCCCAAAGTTTTTACATGCGGCTCATCAGTCCAGTCATTCTTCCTTGAAGACAAAGGATAACGTTTAAAAATGCAGTCTGACAGACAAATCATAGAATCGTATAACAGTTTGGATTGAAACAGACCTTCAAAGGTCATCTGGTCCAACCTCCCTGCAATGAGCAGGGACATCTTCAAATATATCAGGAATTTACTAAGTGTTCCCTTTCTGTTTTGCAGTGTGACATGAGAGAACCAAATGCTCTTCGTGTTACCCCAGTTCCTCTCTACAATTCTTTCCATGATGTGCACAGATTTATTGAAATCCTGGGATCTGCAATTACATCTTCAAAACAAACAGCAAATAATACTGCATTATCTGGTTCTTATTGATGGCTCAGCTGTATCTTTTAATCTATTTCTGACTAAGATGCATTTATCCCACTGAGCAATTCTTTGCTTCGAGTACACTAAGCTATAGCCCATGCAATTTGCAAAAAAATGACCGTGCTTGAATAGTTATTTACAACAGACATAGTTTTATTAAAGCTTATATTTCTACTCTGCTCTGACTTTGACTTCATGAATTAGTATGCTTTGTATATTTTAATGGGGCTTTTCTTAAACATTATATGTTGTTTTATTACATTAGCTTTGAGAAGCATGGAAGAATTGCTATCAACTAGAACAGGAATGAAAAAAAATCCCTTCTTTATTATAAAAATTATGCATAATAAAAAGTGGAAAATAGACAAATCACCAACTGTTAAAAGATACGGTCCAATTTACATTTTTAATTTAGCAATTCTATTTAAAGTACATGGTATACTTGAAAAGTAGAAGTTGAACAATTAGTTGTTTCAAAACTGCTAACTGCTGCATACTGAATTTTTCAAATGGTCCAACATTTTGAAATTCTAGTTTAATTAATGATATAATTGAATATACATTGCAGATACCTTTGGTGTGATACAGTAGGCTAAAACAAAACATTTCTAGGGAGTCATCTTGGAGATGATATACCTGGGGAAGCAGAGAATAATTTTACATTCATGTAAGCCAGTGTGAAGGGCTGTATGAGCATTTACTGCATTTTTTAACAAGGCTTATTTTGGATTAGGCAAAATGAACTCTGAATTGTTTAAGCAGCAGCAAAATATCTCATTGTTAACTTACAGTGTGGCCCAGATTTTTACAGAGATTTGCACTAGGCAGCCCAAAGCTATGAAGAAAACCTGTTTGAATTTAACCAACAGTTTACCCAAAGTTAAGTCATAAATAACACCTTAGCATACTTGGCAGCTAAGCTTCTATATCTGTGCTTACATCTGTACTCTTTTTCAAGAATCAACTAAAATTTTGTCTCTGGTGATACTTAATGTGTCTGGTTGATGGAATGAAACACTTACTTAGAAAATTACTTCTGATGGTATTAATTTTTATTCTACTTCAAGTATGAGAAAGGATTTGGGGGAAGAAGTGAGGACAGCTCTATTTTGGCTCACAGGCATTTTTTGGTGGTTAAAATTTTCACACTCTTTGAGCATCTCCTGCTGAACAGAGAAACCCAATGGCCTTCACTGTGTCTGCCTCTGCTCTAAAATTCCCCAAAGGTAGGTAGATTTAAAATTATTGCTACAGTAATACCTATTTAATTGGTTACAATGTGTAGGGGAAAGCTGAACGAACTGTAAATAAAGCATAGGTTGGTATTTTTAGCACTTGTGGAAAGTAAGAACAGCTTCTTAAACTGGAATAGTTATAAAGAGTAGCACAGGAGTCTTAATCAGTTGGAAAGCTCTGGCTCACTCAAGAGATTTTAATTACATTGACATCATGCCTTTTAATTCTGCTGTGACTATATCGTTGTATTGCAGACCAGGTATCTGTACTTCAATGGCTGCAGTTTTATTTTTATATTTTCACCTTCAACACAGCTACTTTTATCTGTCATATGACATGATCTTGGAAAAGGACCACTTTCCGTAAAGTGACTGCTGATGAAAAAATTGCTGAATATAAAACTGTGTCTGTCCACAGTGTTGAAAAGTGTTTTACTTCACTGCCAGTGCCTTTGAAGTGCTTGTGCAGCTGTACAGCTCTGGCTAACAGTCACTTATGTCTTCCCTATAAAGTTACGCAAGCTTAATGTAAATACAGATATGACGCTAGGTCATATTTTGATTTTTTTTGATATTTTTTTTTATAAATTTATTTTTAGATCAGCTGAACCTCGGTTGTGTGACAAACACAGGAAGAGTAAGGACCTCAAAATCTCTTTTGAAATAGCACATAGACACCAGGTTTGGACCACCTGTCTTGGAAATTGCAAGGAGATAGATGGTGAATTTTGAGGTCACAGTTTGGCATCTGCATTAAATTCACAAGCTGTGAAAACCATTCCTTGTGTCTCTGATTGAGGAAAGTGATCTAAGTAGGGTAGATAAAGCACTTACTTAATCTATACAGTCCAGGTTTTGAAAGATAGCGGGTAAGGCATATGGAGTACTGCGACAGCCTGTACAGCTTCACCAAGGGCTAGTCCTGCCTGACCAACCTAGTCAGTTCTGCCTTCTATGATGAAGTTACTCATCAGTGGACAAAGGAAGGGCTAAAGATGTTGTCTATCTGGACTTCTGTAAAGCCTTTGACACAGCCCCTCACAACATCCTTCTCTCTAAATTGGAGAGACATGGATTTGATGGGTGGACTGTTCAGTGGATGAGGAATTGGCTGGATGGTTGCAGTGAGAGGGTAGTGGTCAATGGCTCAATGTCTGAATGACAAGTGGTGTCCCTCAGGGGTCTGTACTGGGAACAGTACTGTTTAATATCTTCATCAACAACATAAAGAAAGTGGGATTGAGTGCACCTTCATTGAGTTTGCAATGACACCAAGCTGAATGGTGCAGTTGACATGCCCAAAGGATGGGATGCCATCCAGTGGGACTCGGACAAGCTCGAGAAATGGTCCCAAACGAACCTCCTGAGGTTCAACAAGGCCAAGTACAAGGTCCTGCACCTGGGTCGGATCAATCCCTGATATCAATAAGGGCTGGAGGATAAAGGGATGGAGAGCAGGCCTCTCAAGGGCTTGGGGAGTACCAGTGAATGAAAGATTGTATGTGAGCCAGCAATGCACTCTTTCAGCCCAGAAGGACAATCATATCTTGGGCTGCACACAAAGAAGTGTGTGCAGGTTGAGGGAAGCGATCCTGCCCCTCTGCTCTGGTGAGACCCCAACTGGAGTGCTGTGTCCGGCTCTGGAGTCCTCAGTACAGCAAAGACATGGACCTGCTGGAAAAGGTCAGAGGAGGGCCACAGAAATAATCAGAGATGGAGCACCTCTCCTATGAGGAAAGGCTGGGAGAGTTGGGGTTCAGTCTGGAGAAGAGAAGACTCCAGGGAGACCTTACTGTAGCTTTTCAGTGTTTGAAAAGGGCCTATAAGAAAGATGGGGAGAGACTCTTTAGCAGGGCCTGTTGTGACGGTCAAGGCTGCATAGGGTTCTAGGCAACATGATCTAGTTGAAGATGTCCCTGCTCATTGCAGCGGTGTCAGACCAGATGACCTTTGAAGGTCACTTCCAATCCAAACTACTCTATGATTAATAAATGTTTAGTAGTATTTTGTCTTTTAGCAACATTTGAGGCTGCAGGTACAAATATTAATTTTATAAATTGTAATTTGTGTTCCATTTGATGAATTTGATTAAATTCATCATGTCAAAACTCACTTATTTCAATTTTTTGTAACTACTCACTCTTCTGAACCTATGAGCTGTGAAGATAAGCATGAAAGCTACTTGCTTTTATAGGCATATATATAAATTCAGAAAATCATTTCCAAAAAGTGAGGGAAATGTGTTTTACTTGCACAAAATTGCAGCATAAGCTCATTTTCATATGGTCTTTCCCTACTCGTAGTAAAAGTTTTTCAAAATGAATAATACTGAAAGCTAACATTAGGTGTCAGTATTTTACATATTATTTAGCAAGAGAATATCAAGTGAAAGAGCTTCTATGCAAAGAAAAAAAATTGCAGTCTGCTTTTTCAAATGCTCTAAGTTATCACAGTTAGAGTAATATCAGGAATAATTATGTGTGAAATAATTAATTACATATACCCCAAATGCTTCTTGCTACTTGCATCTCTGATTTAAAATTCAATATTAAGTACTGCTACTTTCTAATTGTGATAACATTTAGTTCTTGGATTGTCTGAAGAAATTACATTTTTCAAATTAAACTGCAAGACATGAAAGTCTGTAGATGACAGAAAATTGACACCCAGATAGGGTGATAAAACGTCTCCAAAATGAAGGAAGATAAGCATGAGTATAGAGATCTCTAGTTATATGTGATCCTTCTCAGCTGATAGATAACAATACTGTACATATCTCTTAAACTCACTGCAACTGTTGAAAACATGACGAAAAAATAGTATAGCATCCGTTTGTGCATTTTTTACCTTGTTTTGCCATGGGAAGACTAAAGGGAAAGCAAAGTCCTGTTTCATAGGCAGAAAAGGCTGGTTTTGTTTTCCAAAAGAACAATGTGATATGAGTGAGAAAAAAGGTATGACATACAGTTATTTTCTCATCTGAGCTTGTTGCTTGATTGAGAATGGGAAGGACATGCCCCATTTGAAGAGCTTAAAATACAAAACATTGACAACCCTTGGTACTGCAGAATCCACCTGCTTCAGTTTTATAATCAGAGCATTATAAATAAGTAGCTTAAGCAAGAAAGATGAAGGGAGAAAGAAACAAAAGACAGTAAAATAATTAACATTTTAACCTATGTTACATTATGTTATGGTCATGTTCAGCAGGGTAGAGGTGGGAATTGCCCATGAAATTTTAGCCCCAGGGGCCTTGGTTGTGTTCACAGAGGTAAAAATAAGCATCTGGAGTTGAATCTGCAGAGGGGCCTTGCAGGATGTGTAAACATCAAAGCAGTGACAGCCCTATAATGAAGACATGGCTGAGGTAGGTGTGTTATTTCATATACTCACTTCTTCCAGATGCAATTAACATGTCATGATCTAACATGTTTCAGATGGAGCTGACCTGCTCAGAGACCCTTAAAAATCTCAGCAGGTTCCCATCTCAATGTCTGGGCACCCAAACTGATGAAACTATGTTTTGGAAAAGCTATTTATTCTACAAACAGCTGAGAGGCAGTTTTTCATTGTAAGCTTAAACTTTTGTCAATATTTTGAAATATTTTTAGAAAGCTTATTCAGAAATGACTAAGTTATAGATCAGTAATTCACACTTTTTATATTCCAAGTTTTTATTACCTAAACTTACTCTTCTAAGCACTGTTTTATGCTTCTAGTTAAATATAAGTGAGAATTGATTGGGGTATTTCTCAATGGAATTCTATCTTTATTTCATCATAATTGCTTCATATTTGGATAATGACAGATGAACTACCTCATTCAATTGCAGTTTTAAGGCTTTGAAGTCACAATAGCAGCAAAGGATTTAAATCCTGAAGCCATTATTGTGCCTGAGAAGAAGTCAGGGAAAAGGAAAACTTATGGTCATGTAATTTTCTAGGCAGAAAAATACTTCTGTGGTTGCACTTCCTCCTTCGTTTTTTTTTTTCTTTTTTTTTTCCCTGTACATTTTGTTAACATTAAAACGATCCACTAAACTTCAACAAAATTAAGTAACTGCAAATTCTAGCATAACAAATGGCTTCCAGCCACCCTGTGATGCTGAATGAGAGTCAATGTTGTAAGTAAACTTCTGTAGTTATTTTGCTTCGGAACTATTTGCAAACCATTTAAAATTCTAGGAAGCTGCAATATGTATTTCACCAATAAAGAGTTCATTAGGTCTTTTTTCTCTTTGACATTTATGTCTAGTCCTGAGTACATGTTAAAAGTCCAAGGTATAAATTTCAAAGTTTCCTATATCTTTGTGTAGAGTTTTGAACAATGAATCAAATTATAAAAAATAGCTTTAAAAATAAGACATGAAATGTGAATTTGAAGTATATGTTCAAAAAGTTGCTACATTATAATTTTTGGGGGACAGGGTCTCTTATCAACCAAGCTCAGTGAGAAAGTTCTATTTTTTTTAAAACTTACATTTTATTGGTGGATTTTGAAGAGATAGTCAAATTGTTAAAATATGATCAGGCCGTATATTCAGGATAGGTCTTTCTCCTAGGAGGCTACATCAAAGTGGGAGAGACATAGAAAAATCATTATTTAATATGTTCAAAATTACTCCCATGTGGGGAAAGATTTATAGAGGCTTCTGAAATAAACATGGGGGCAAGCAGCACTGAAACCCCTTCATTTGAAATAAAAGTAATGTCAGTCTTATCATCATAGTACCAGGTATGAATATGAAGATATATATGAAAACTTTCCAATTCTGTCTTCATAATGA